TCTTTCCCTGGCAGATGCTGACAAGGATGATGATCGGACTTCTTTGAACAGGAAGCTGGACCAGAACCTGCTGTTGTTGGTTAAACAGAAGATTGGCAACCAAGAGTTCTGGATGTTGCCCCAAGCAGAGTGGCAGGATGGGGAGACCCTGCGAGCCACAGCAGAACGAGCCCTGGCTGAGCTGTCAGGTCAGTGTTTGCCTGTGTGTACATACCCCTCTCCTGCTAGCTCATGATTTTGGCGATCCCTTTCTCTCTCTCCTGGCCCCGCAATGAAGTTGCCTTCTGTTTAGTCAGATCACTGGTCCATCAAGGTCAGTCTTGACCACTCTGAGTGGCAGCAGCTCCCCGGGGTCTTGGGTAGACGTCTTTCACATCACCTACTAAAGTGGCTGAAAGCAAACAAATTGAAACGGAACCCAGACAAGAAGGAATTGATGCTAATTGGGAAGACGGAGATCTTGAAGGACCGTGTTGCTTCCCTCTTTGGATGGGGTTCAGATTATCCTTCCTTCCTGACTCAGTTAAGAGCCATGGAGTCATACAGAATCAAGCATTACTGCTGGAGAAGCAAGTTAATTCAGCAGCACAAAGTGCTTCCTTCCAACTCCATCTAGCCCCTAAGGTGGCTCCTTCCCTTGACATGGTAACATCAAGACCAGACTGCTGCAATGCACTCTGCATAGGTCTCCCGTTGAAGTCAATTTGGAGACATCAGTTGGTGCAGAATGCTACAGCTTTGTTATTATCAGGAGCTAGGCTCGCATTCTGCAGTTCCTCCACTGGCTGCCCATCAGTTACTGGGCTCAATTCAAGGTATTAGCTATCACTTAGAAAACCCTTTATGGCTTTGGTCCCTGCGGGACTGCCTCTCCCCCTGTGCTTGACCACGACCATGTCACTCACCTGAGCATCTGTAGGTGCCACCCTAAAAGCAGGCAAGATCAACAAGTCCCTGTATAGTGCATTCTCTGTTGTGAAATGGCCTGCTGGATTAGGTCCAGAAGGCTCCTGCTCTCCTGGCTTTCCATAACCTCTGAAAAACTGACTTATTCAGGAGGACCTTATCACACAGCTAATAGGTCTATAGTGTACTGAAATTGTTTAGAACAATGCTTTGGTGAAGGGACAAGGGTTATGCACTACACTAATGTGTATGGTAAGTATCGTCTATTGCCATATGTATTATCCTACTGTGTAATTTCTGCCCTGTTCAGCATGTCATGTTGATGCTTATGCCTTGCTTCAGCTTCATTTCAGATTTGTGCTTGTTTTTGGATTTCTGCAATCCAAATAGCCTGCCTTTCTCAGTGAGACTCAAGGCAGATTACACAGTTCAAGTTAATGCAGTCAGTAGGACAGGACATCCAGTACACAATATAATAGGGTTAGGGTTGTGGAAATTAAAACGAAGCAAAAATCTGGAACAAAGCTGAAGCAAAGCATAAGTGTTAGCATGGCATATTAAATGACGCAGAAACTACCTATTTACACAATAGATACAGCAACAAGATACTATTTACTGTACACAGCAGTATAGTCCACAGTATGTTTCCCTTTATTCTTTATTTATTTATTTGTTGGATTTCTATACCACCCTCCCAAAGCCGGAATCTAAAATACAATAAAACATACAATAAAATACAATATTTAAACCACAAAAACCATCCTATAACACGGTGCTATATCATTCAACCAAGATGGGAATAACCATCCAGCTTTGGTGGCCAGCTATCTCAGTAGCGTCCCACTATGCTGTCTATGACAATTTCTTCTGAAACTGTGCCATTATAATAAAGTTCTATTACTTTGCAAAAATGCCTTGTATAATAAATCAGTTTAACATAGTTTTTGAAATGCCAGGAGAGTGGAAATGTCCTGATTTTATGCTGGACAATAATTTTGGGTTATGTACCCTGATTTTACATGTAGGCACTATCTAGCCACAGTGCCCTCGGATATACATTGAGCAGACCAGGAGGCAGGACAGATACTCCCAGTGGGTGGGGCCAGCAAGCACAAGTTGCAGCCATGCGCAGCAGATAAGGTTATCCAAACTGTCCCAAGTTGCCATTGACTAGCATGTTTTTATGGGAAAACTGAAAGGTCCAGTCCGAGATACGAGCTCCGTGCTGGCTAAAGAACGTTAGCCAGGAAGCACATCAGCACTATGCTTAAATGGATGCGTTCCAGCTCCCCAAACACCTATAAAGGGGAGGAGGGCATTTTTGATCCCCTAGGTTTTTATATCTCTCTGTATGACCTGCTCTTACTTGGATGTTTCCTTCTTTTCCCACCCTGTCTGGATTCCTGGACTTCCAAGGAAGGCACTGGGAGGCCAAGTTCCTGGGGAATGCGCCATGTGGTTTTTACAAGTACAAGTTTCCTCGAGTGGTCCAGACAGACACCGGTGTGGGGGCCAAGATGTTTTTCTTCAAAGCCCTCCTGCAGCACAGCCAACTGCCCTTGCCCAAGGGGAAACTGGACCATGTTTGGGTCAGTAAAGAGGAGCTGGTGGACTACTTGAAACCTGAATACCACTCCCAGGTTTCTCAGTTTCTTGTGGATCTGTGAACAGCAATAGCTGAGCCCTGTCCTGAAGCTGATGGCGGCGGGGGCCGGGGGGGCGGAGCGGTGTGTGGGAGAAGATGCTGCTGAGATTTTCCTCATCGCACGGTTGTCCCAGCCCAAAGATCTCGGCAAGTTTTGATCCGTGCTCAATAAAAGAGCCCAAGAAGTGACTTGCTCTGTGTGTGTGTTAAACTCTTCTGTCCTCTTGGCAACAGCTGCCTTCTCCTGGTAGAAAGATGAGCTTTTAAACTGAAAATCAATAAATCCAATAGGCAGTCCAGTTGCCTGGAGCGAAGGAATTCCAGTGGCTCTTGGTAAATTGGGAGAATCTTCTTGAAGGAGAGTGATGATGGTGTGGCAGCAATTGCCCCTCTGCCTGGCTTCCCTTTCCCTTCATTCCATACAGCTTAACCATAGTGGCGAGAATGCATGGTACCTCCATTGCAATGCCAGGTTTATATTGTGCATTAAACAATAATGATAAACATGGTCTAATGTTGCAGACAGAAAAAAACAACAACCGTGAACATCAGACCACAACGTTTCAACAAACAACTTGTAAATCCAATGAATAATGTCTATTTGACGTGCATACAAAATGCCGTTTCAATAAGTCATAAAGAGAATTCTTTTTTATGCAATGAATAATACCTGTTTGAAATGTATACAGTTCACAATGATACAAAATACAATTCCAATAAATCATAAGAAAAATCCTATTCAACATTGTTTCTGGATTGTGTTCAACGTTTCAAACGCAATTCTTCCTCAGGAAATATCCTATACAGAGCAGTCACTTTCAAACTCTTACGATTACGTCTGTTTTCAGCGAGAGCAGTATCCAATCAGCCAGGTGCAGATCGCAAAACCTTCCTAAAGTGAATATCACAGGAGTATCTATCTGGATCTGGATCCAGATCTGAATTGGGAGACATAGACAGTGGCACCCTCTCCTGAGGAACTCCTCTCCCTGTGATTATTTTTTTGGGGGGGTTGAGCCACAGTGTGGCTTTCTGGGGCATCAGAAATGGGGCCAAATTAAATAGGTCACTCGTGAAGCGAACACCTTTCCTATCACTCCATCTTTGGGGGAAATGAAGGCTTCCATTGGGAAAAATTTCAGCCCTTTTTCTCTCTGTTTCCACTGTGGTCCCCTTGCGGAAGAAGCAGCCTCTCTGGCTGCATTTGAAAAGATTAGGAGTGTGGGAGGAGAAAATGAATTTTAGCCCTGGGGCTGCAACACAGTGTTTATTTTCCAAAATAGACCCGCCTACGTTTCCCAGAGAGAAACAAGGACATGCTGGCAACCTCCCGATTTCCTCCCCAAAGATCCCTCCCCGAGCCCCGCATCTGCCATCTACCGTGTGTTGCTGAAGACTCAACTCTGCCTTTTGCATCTTGTATTAATGGATTCTATGAAGAGCTAATCTTTCACTGATTTTTCAGTACGTGCTTTTCTTGATGATGTGCTACAAAAGCTCCCCATAATTGTCCTGCAGTCTGCTGTTCGAAATCCACCTTGGCAGCTGCGGTTTGCATGAAATGGCAAACTGTGTGCCACATGGAGTCTTTGTTATCATGCACATACTTTTACATGCATGTGTGCTAGCGATGCACCCACACCCCCTATCACTCTGTGATTTAATGTTCACAAAATCTGAGAATCGTGTTGAACATGGCAGAAAGCAGTTCCCAGTCATGAGAGTCCCAAATGTCCTTAAGTCTCTATTTCTGCCAGATGGGCATGCCAGCGATGTACCACCACCAGAAGGGATGGGTACCAGAAAAAGATGGAAATTGATAATGGGTTTAGGAATGAGCGACAGGTGGCAGCTTTTTGATTCAGGTAGAAATCTGGAATGGTGTGTGTTTGGTTTTCACAGGCTCTCAGCTTGAAACAATGGAATTTATCTTATAATTTGGGCTACATGTTTGCAGTGCTAAAGAAAAAAAAGAATTCCTGTTCCTTATATAAACTTTAGAATGTGGCATGATTTCTTTTAACTTGCTGAACTTTCCCCAGTGTTTTATTAAAACATTAATCAATTCTGTCCTGCCAAAAAAAGGCACCACATTTTTGGGAACTGGTCTAGTGTAGGAGCTGAGGGAGTGAGCCAAGGTCTGGAAATTCCACAATCAAATCTTGCCTTTGCCACAAACTCATAAGGGGGCCTAATCAAGCAGTGATCTCCTGGCCCCCATTCTGCAATACGATCATATGACTGGCCTACCTTACAGGCTTATTGAAAGGATTAATATGTATATCTGGAGTACTGAACATGGAAGAGTGAGTACCATATACAGAATTTTCTTCAGAGAAAGTATTCTGATCTTGAAACAGCTCTAGGTATGATGGGGATTGACTGGCTGCTTTCCGTCTCCTACAATACCCTTTTTTGCAGAATTGTAGTGTATGCATAGCTCTAAATTACTGCATCTAATCATACAGAGGTTACAGTCAGCGTGGTGTAGTGGTTAAGGGTGGCAGATTCTAATCTGGAGAACCAGGTTTGATTCCCTACTTGTCTACATGAAGCCTGCTGGGTGACCTTGGGCCAGTCACAGTTCTCTCAGAACTCTCAGCCCCACCTACCTCACAAGGTGCCTGTTGTGGGGAGAGGAAAGGAAGATGATTGTAAGCGGCTTCAAGACTTCTTAAGGTAGAGAAAAGCAGGGTATAAAAACCTCTTACTTTGCCAGCCCCCCATATTAATAAAAGCAAAAAAACCCCAGTGTCATGGTAGGAGTTTTTGACTTAATGTGAGACTCTGCAGATGTGGCCAAAAATGCAGATTAACTGAAAGAAGAAAAATCCATGAAAACCAGCCTGATGAGAGCTGAACATGTTACTAGAGGTGGAGACACAAAAGGAAAAAAGGGAGGGAAGAGAAAAGTAGCCTGCCAAGACCCCCGGGGAGTTTGGCAAAGAAGACAGGTGCTGGGTAATAGGGCCTACCCTCTGTCAATAGGGACTCCCAGAGAGTAAGCAGATGCCCCAGTCAGTCCGATCACAGGGGAATGGATAAATGAAAGGATAGAATCCTAGAGGAAGGAGACTGTGGGATTTTGTGGGGTGGTGGTGGTTCCCCCTCCCAGCGATTCCTTGCAGGCTGCCAACTTGTAATAACAATATTTATGAATGTGGTGCTTTTGTTACAAAGCGTGCGAGGCTCTTTGAATACATTAGCTCAGTAATCCTCAGAATAACAGTGTGAAGTAGGCTGGTATTATTATCATCCGCAGATCCCCGGGGTGTGTGGTGGGGAAGGGGAGAGAGCATGCAAGCGGAGAATCTGGGGAGATTTATGCAACAATTGTCCCACCTCTAGTTCTAGATGTCGCCCTAATCACCGGGTTGGAACACCTGCCCGAGAAGGGAAGTCCGAAACAGAAAAGAGCTTTTTAGTGTGGAACAAAGGGGACTGAGGGGAAACAGGAGTAAGATCTACAACAAAATATGCATGGTGTGGAGAAAGGGGACAGAGAGAAACTTCGTTCCCTTTCCCATAATAATGGAATTGGAATGGGAAGTTACCCTAGGAAGCTGATTAATAGTAGATTTGAGACAGACAAAATATATTACTGCACACAACAGGGAGTTGTTTTGTGGAACTCACTGCTGCAGGATGTGGTGACAATTGCTGGTTTAGTTGAATTTAAAATGGGGTTGGGTAGATTTTTGGAGGACAGAGCTATTGTTAGCTATTAACCACAACAGCCAAAAAGGGCCTCTGGATTCAGAGGTGGAATCTCTCTGACTGTCAGGTGTCGGGGAGCTACCCCCCATCTCCCCCTGGGGGTCACAGGGGACCTGGTGGCCCTAATGGCAAGTCAGTGGTATAAAGCTAGGGTTGCCAGGTTTCTCCTGGCCACCAGTGTGAGGTGTGTGTGTGTGTGTGGAAGGCAGGGTTGCCCGATCCAGGTTGGGAAACTCCTGGAGATTTGGGGGTGGAGCCTGGGGAGGACAAGGACCTCAGTGGGGAACAAGGCCATGGAGCCCAGCCCACCCTCCAAAGCATCCCATTTTCTCTGTAGTCTGGAGATGAGCTGTCATTCCAGGGGATTCTCAGGTCACCCCTGGAGGCTGGGATGCAGGCCGGGAAGAGAAGGTCCCTGGTTCAATTCCTGGCATCTCCAGCGAAAGGGTCTTTGTGTAGCAGGGCCTGGGAAGGACAGGTGGGCAGCCACCGGTGGGCAAAGGAGGCAGCGTGGGCCTTAGGGCTGCCAGCTCTGGCTTCGGGCGTTCCTGGAGGTTGGGGAGGAGTTTGGGGAGGGGAGGGACCTCAGGGCTTGGGACGTTCCTGGAGGTTCAGGAGAGGAGTTTGGGGAGGGGAGGGACCTCAGTGGGGAATGATGCCACAGAGTCCACCCTCCAAAGCAGCCCTTTTCTCCAGGGGACGTGATCTCTGTCATCTGGAGATCAGTTCTAATTCCAGGAGAACTCCAGGCCCCATCTGGAGGCTGGCAACCCTTGAGGATTGCCTCCCTGATTGAAAAACTGCCACCTCCCACCACGTGCACCTGACGTCAATTGCCCTTTTTGCTGTGGCAGCGTCTTCCCCTCTTCAGCCTCACAAGCACCCAGGGAGGACTTGCTCAGCAGGTTTTCTGGGGACTGTTGGGGGCTCTGAATCCCTGAACTCAAGACTGTGGTAGATGTTTTGCCAGCTCTCTTGAGAGCTGTCTTGCTGGAGGCCTCCAATGGGAAGGGGGGGAAGAGAAAGTGTTTTTAATCACTCCGGGAGCTGTCGAAAGTGCGGCCCGTCAGCCTTCCATTTTCCGAAAGCCTGGCTGTCGCTGTTCCAAAGCTGCAGGCGTGCAATAAATAAAATAGATCTCCCTGCTCCCCCCCCAACCCTCCTCTGTTCCTAAACCACCCTGGGAGGCTCGGCGGGGAGTCAGCTAGCTGCCGAGACCCGGGCAGGCGGAAACGAGGCAGGCTCTGAAGGGAAAAATAAATAAAAGCCAGGTATGAAATTCAGGCCAAAGAACTGCAAATTAGTTTCCCAAGGTCTGAGCACTAAAGCTCTGGTGACAGGAAGGGGCTGTGTGAGCTAAAAGTGCCTCCTGGGGACAGCTTTCAAGTGTCCTCGCCTCACACACTGTAGCCAAATGCCAGTTGTGGGAAGGCACAGCAGGGCGGGCGGGG